GAGTTGGCTGATTTCATTGCCAGGCTGCTCTTTTAAAAGATCATGGGAATCAGGAGAGGCTCCCAATGACTGGAAAAAGGAGTTGGGAGGCTGTATTAAAAGATACTGAGCAATCCCTTCTAACCTGATACAGGTCAATTGCATCAAACAGTGAATGTTTTCTACTTTTCTGTATATCCATCAGAACATGTAGTAACAGAAGTCCTGGTATAAGTAGTATTTTGTTTTAGGGTTTTTCTGCTACAGACTCTCTGAATTACGGAATGATAGGAATAGAAAAGAGCATCTATCACACTAAAAACATGGCAAGAGAGTACTACTCATTATGAAAGAGATTGTCAGATGTACACATAGCCTTTTATGGAGAAAGAGAAGAAGAAAATGTCTGCAAGAACACTTGCCTGATTTGTTACCCAGTTATGGAAAAACTGGTCTAAGAATACTGCAAAGATTCAGTATACAAACAGATAATCACACGAAAGAATTGCAGACACTGCAACAGCTTATTGGCTCTGCAGAATCTACATAACCATTTGTTTAACATAAATTACACCGCTCTTACCCTGACACAAGTAGGGTTCCCTCCTTTCTTACCTTCACAGATGCTGAACTGCACAAAAAGTATGTACTTCCGTTAAAGAATTTCTCCCTCGGGAAATAAGTGTTGGATAAAGCAAAATATATCAGCTAAATAATCCATTAGACTTTTGTAAATATGATTCAGCCAATGAAAGTTTCTAAATGACACATACTGGCAGAGGCCAGAAGACCAGACACCTAACTCACCAGGACTTGATTTGCATTTAATTGTATAGGTGGAGGTAGCTCATTTCCACTTGCAGACAGAACATCTGAGTGCATTGCTGCCTGTGGATACGGCTACAATTTGTTTCACGCAGTCTACACAGGGAAATCCAAAAAACAGATTTGAAATTACTTGGGCAGTAAACTAATATGCACAAAGAAATTAACTGCTGTAATCAATATGAAGTCCTGGAGCCGCCTGCCCAGAGGAAGTCTGAGGCACAACCTACACCATGTGAAATGCAGTGATTGCCTGACGCAGCACGCACACAATGGTAAAAGCATGTCTACACGAGCATCGAATGTCCAAAAACCACAAATACTTTATTCAGATGTTTAATTCTGAAAGGATTTAAAGACATGTGCCATCAGCAGAGCCTTGTAGGCCACAGACACCTATGTATGATGGGACCAGATACCTATTAAACATCTGGTAGCTTTCGTTCTGTGGAGCTGAACAGGCATGTAATATTAACTGCTGGCCTGGGAGTTGTGCTTTATTTCTGAAGAAATGGATGTGGCAAGCAACACTTGATTACAAATGAACACAAACCATTGTGTCAGGAAAAAGTTTTATTTAAAATGTTTATTACTACAGTAAGTGCAACCAACATAAACTACACAACATAGGTGAGCTGTTTGCGCAATTTCAACAGAGAAAAAAATTAGCACATTTGGCACTAGAATTCTCATATTTTTCTACACTATGGTTTTTGCATTACTGGCACCGACATACAGAGAAGCACGGACACTGGTGACCGCTTAAAAGATGCTTTAATCCATGAGCTGCAGGAGCCCCTAACAAAGACACTGACGGTGTACAAATCGTTAATTGTTTGCAGTGATCCACAGTATTTTTATCTCTTCAAAAAGCAAAGATAGCTACAGAAGTATAAATTCATAGAGTGACACCTAGAAAACAGGAACGGTATAGTATCTTTGTTTTTCTTTATGCTAACTAGGGGTGAACTTAGCGCGACTCACAGAATAATGATATATACCGCAACTTCCAATGACAGCGTAAGTCAAACAGCTCCAAGTTTTTATATTGTAACCAACTAAACACATTAATAGATCAACTTACAGAAGCTGTTTGTCCTGTTTTAAACAGGAATTCTGACACTAAAGTTGAACAGTTTAAGGTTTCTATGAAACCAGCTGATTCAGTGAGAAATTTGAAAGTTTGAAGCTAACACGTCTACAAACACTTTGTACAAACGCAGACAAAAACACTTGTGATGTGCAATGGGCAGAAGAATTGTACAGACCAATGAAAAATTCCTCTTTTGAGATAAAGCTCCAGTTCCACCTAACTAGTTACCATTACTGGTAACTACATAAAGCTGAGGCATCAGCCCTTAAACTTACCAGTTCATCACCAGTTCTCTTATTCTGGAATCAAAAAAGAGTAGCTTTGTTTAAGGACAGTTTCTCATGGGGATATTGCCACAGTCCCAATATAAGCTGGGGTAGGCAACGCTGAGCACGCTGCTGCTTTCACTCCATTTTGCATTCTGCCTACAGAGATGTGTTCACCCCTTTCAACCACCCGCCCTCTGATCAGTGCCTAGATAACATCCCTCAAAAAAACAACAACAAAATCACAGAGGTACTTGGCCTTAGGTATAACAAACATATGGATACTATTTAGCCATGAAACAAAACCTTATTTAAGGTCAGTTCTCTTGTGATCATTATAGGAATAGATACATATCAGTGGAAAGATGGATTTTTGGCTATTTGTTCTTGGCTCTTAAAAGTCCTCATACTTCAAATCTTAACCATGAATGTATATTTAAGATAACCTTTAAAGCTTTTAAAAATAGGGTACGTTTTATCCTTCCTCCCCCCCCAGTATTTCATAGTTGGAATTATGCTTTTTCATTTCAGGGTAAAAAAAGATTATTGTTTCTCAACCATGCATTAAAAATTTTATTGTGTGCTTGGATAAGGAAACAAGAACTACTGCAGCTGGAAAGTTCCTGTTCCAAAGTAGGAAAACAAATGTGACATCTTCTAACAGAACAGATGTGTTCCTAATGTATTTTGGAAAATAACTTCCTACTTGATTTTAAAAAAAAAAAAAAAAATCAGCAAAAACCCCATTGTATTTGTTTATTTTGTTTTCGGTATAAACTATTTCCAGTGTGAGAACAAGCGTGTGATGAATTCTCTTCTTAAGAATCACTAATAAAAATTTTATTAAATTCCTGTCACTTTTAATTCCCCAAACCCACTGAAAACAGTAATGCTGGCTAAGTGTCAGAAAGTGTAAATCAAAAGCAATACATAAAACACAATTTGAGTTAAACCTTTAGTATTGCAATGACACGTGACTAGAAAAAGATCTACGGTGCTTCTACAGGAAGGACAGTTCATAAATTGCCCTTATAAGCTTGAGCATGTTTCAAAAGAAAAACCCAAAGGAACAGAAAATAAGTATACCATTATACAGAATGGTTTTCTGCAATTTCACTACTTGAAGTACATCACAGTAAAGCAACTTTGTACAGGGGTAAAAGTCACTAGTCAATTAGGCTTTGCTCAGAATTAAAGAAAACTTTGAAAGCCAGGATGATTTCCCTTGCACTGTACTGGCTTTGAGAATGAGGACAGAAACACTGTCTTTGTAGAGTGAAGAAAATTCCTCTACTTCGTCCTGAATATTAGACATGATGTGAAAAATACTGAAAAGGAAAAGAAAGCTGGCAAGTAAAGACATATTCAATAAGGAAGACAGTGAGTTAAAAAGTCTGGATTCTTAACCCATAGACATTAGAATCATGAACAAATGCTGGATGGACTTCTTTTGTAACTGGGAAAAGAAGAAAAAAGGCTAGCAAAAAGTTCCTCCTGGCCTCAGCTAACTACAAGAACTAAGATGCTCATAGTGATGTTCCTTTGACCAAGCCAAGCCTTACCCCTTCCCTTCAAGTTTTCTCCAGACTGCTTTTGAGTTACATCTGCTGATCACCTCCATGTAGAACTCTGTTTCATGCTCCAGAGCAGGCTTGGAGCACACTTCATATTCTCAAACTGCTAAAAAGCAGGGCCAAATCAGAATTAGTTCAGAGTAACACCCCTCCATGAAAGTGAACCACAGGGACTCAGGACAAACTACCATACCATGCTACCTGCTTATGTTGACATGGTCACTAAAAGCAGAGCTTCTGTGAAAGCTATCTAAACTCTGCCTTCAGGTAAGGGAAAGGAGCATGGTTTGTACACTGCTTTAGTCCAGAAGTGTATGCAAAGTGTGTTCAGTCAGATACAACTTCACATGACAACATGGTTTCCAAAGTATTTATTAAATTTGCAACACAGTATTTGGGCATTATCTTCTTTCTCTCATCATCCTTGACAGCCTTATATACCCTTCACATCCAAGCATTTCTTCCTGCCCTTAGACACTTACTAACCCCACTGGCAACATCCTAGGAAAACTGAAAATGCCAACAAGGAAAGAATGGCAAATCATGGAATGGATGGGTACATAGTCTATTTCATTTCCAGTATGCCTTCCACCACTTTCGCTCTGAATTTGTATGCTTTTGAGACCCCACAAATGTAAATTATTTTTAGTTATTTTTGAGAGCAATTAAAACGTGAATTATTTCTAGAAAAGCACACTGATGAGCCCCTCATGGAGCTGGAGCTTTCTCAGGAACCTCCTGGGCAGGACAGTGCAGAGAAGGAATGAAAATTCACTCTTTGATGTGATATAGGTGGCTCACTCCTCCGACTGACGTTTCCTTGAAGCAAAACAAAAGTCGTTAATCTGTGGCAAACCGTTAACTATTGCTTTGGGCAGGTTTCTAAACACAACCAAAAAAACACAAAAGGGGGGAGGGGGGTGGGGGCCTCCCCGATGCGCGGCTCTATCTGCAGCCCATGTGGCCGGGAGGCAGCCACAGCCGGTTCCAATTCCTCCTTTCCCCACTTTGCACCCCTGCTCGCTGCCGGGGCTGAGCTGAGCTGAGCCAGGACGGGCTGCGGGCTTCCTCCCTCCCTCCTCACCCCATCCCCCCCCCCGCCGCGCCGTCCTCCCTCTCCATCCCATCCTCCGCTCCCCCAGGGCACAGTGTGGGAAGTACGAATTTCCGCTGAGTTTTTTTTCTCGGCAAGTTTTCGGAGCTTCTCTTTCTCCAACAAGCTCCCCCGCTCCTCCCCCTTCTCCTCCCTTAGGGGCGGCAGAGCCCGGGCGGCGGCAACCAGCAGCCCTTCCCGGCCGCTCCGCGACCCCCGGCCGGCTCGGGAGAGCCCATGGTGCCGGCCACCGCGACCTGCAGCCGCCGCCGCGCCAGCCCGCCCGGCGCGGAGCTCAGTCCGGCGCGGAGCAGAGGAAGGGCCGATTAGCAGCCGCGGAGGAGGCGGGGTGGAGGGGGGATGCCGGCGGGACACAAAGCCGGCGGGGGAAGCAGCCCACGGCTCGTCCCGGGATGGGGGCGCCGCGCCGGGTCCGCCTGATGGTGCTGCCGCGGGTGCTGTGGGGCTCCGTCCCCCTCTTCCTCCTGCTGCTGCCGGCGGCCGAGCCCATCTGCCCCGAGCCGTGCGACTGCCAGCAGCACCAGCACCTCCTCTGCACCAACCGGGGCCTGCGCTCCGTGCCCAAGGCTGCCGAGCCCCAGGATATCCTCACCTACAGCCTCGGGGGCAACTTCATCGCCAACATCTCCGCCTTCGACTTCCACCGCCTGGCAGGGCTCCAGCGCCTGGACCTGCAGTACAACCGCATCCGCTCGCTGCATCCCAAGGCCTTCGAGCGCCTGGGGCGGCTGGAGGAGCTCTACCTGGGCAACAACCTGCTGCCGGCGCTGGTCCCCGGCACCCTCAGCGCCCTGGCCAAGCTGCGCATCCTCTATGTGAACGCCAACGAGATCGGCCGCCTCAGCGCCGCCTCCTTCTCCGGCCTCAGCAGCCTCGTCAAGCTGCGCCTGGATGGCAATGAACTGGGCTCGCTGGGCGACTCCACTTTCTCAGGGCTGCCGAACTTACTCTACCTGCATCTGGAGTCCAACCGCATCCGCTGGCTGAGCCGTGGTGCCTTCACCGGCCTGGCTAAGCTGCGCTTCCTCGACCTCTCAGGGAACCAGCAGAACACCCTTCGCCACCCGGACATCTTCGGGCCACTGCGCTCCCTTCACACCCTGCTGCTGGCCAGCAACAGCCTGCAGCAGCTGACAGGGGGGCTCTTCCAGCACCTGCCCGGCTTGGTGAAGCTCTCGCTCAGTGGAAACCGCTTGGCTCACCTGGCCCCAGATGCCTTCACCGGGCTGGGCTCACTGAAGGAGTTGCGCCTGGAGGGCAACCTGCTGAGCCACCTGCCCCCTGCCCTCCTGGAGCCGCTCAGCAGCCTGGAGGCACTGGATCTGAGCCGCAACGCCCTGACCGCCCTACACCCCGCCACCTTTGGCCACCTCGGCCACTTGCGGGAGCTCAGCCTGCGGGACAACGCGCTGGCCACCCTCCCTGGCGAGCTCTTTGCCTCCAGCCCCGCTCTCTACCGCCTGGAGCTGGAGGGGAACGCCTGGAGCTGCGACTGCCGCCTGCGCGGCCTCAAGCAGTGGCTGGGGGCCTGGCACTCCCAGGGCCGCCTGCTCACCGTCTTCGTGCAGTGCCGCCTGCCGCCCGCCCTGGCCGGCAAGTACCTCGACTACCTGCAGGATGCCCAGCTCCCGCCGCCGCAAGACGGCGGCCCCTGCCACGACGGTGCCTCTCCCTCCTCCTCCTCCTCCCCCCCGCCAGCAGCGGAGGAGCAGCGCCGGCCGCCGCCGGCCGCCGAGGGACTCGGCAGCA